CCCTGAAGGGTTTTCACCAACAAACCTCTCTCATTTGTTCATCTCTCAACTCACTGTCGCCTTATGGTGCCCATGAGGGTTTTCACCAATAAGACTCTCTCATTTTAATTTCTCTCATCTTTCGTCGCCTTACGGTGCCCGTGAGGGTTTTCACCAATAAGACTCTCTCATTTTTTATTTCTCTTAACTTTTCGTCGCCTTACGGTGCCCGTGAGGGTTTTCACCAATAAGACTCTCTCATTTTTTTATTTTTCCTGCTCGGACCGGAATGTTGCCCCTGATATGAATCACCTCACTTGCTTGACTTGGCATCTCTCGAAGACTGATCAGAAGGTCTTTCTTTGGACCGTAATGTGGCCTTTTGGATAGGGTTAAAAAGAAAAGGTGTCACAAAGGCTCAAAACAACTTCAATGGGTTTAAAATTACAACTTTGGAATCGGATCTCTTACAACAAATACAACTTCTGCCCTGGTTTCTTTGCTTAGGTACTTTTGGATTTTTGTTTTGATGGAACCGAACCGTGAGGCTGCCTACGTATCATTAAAAGGAATCAGGTCGAATGTAGTTCATGTCATAGGAATTGCTTTTTGGTTGTTACTTCTCTTTTTCTTTCCTTTTTTTTTACTTCTTTTTTTCTTTTTCATTCTTTTCCTTCTTTTCTCTTTTTCTCTTTTATCTTTCTTTTCATTCTTTTCCATTCTTTCCTTTTCTTTTCTCTTCTCTTTTCTTCTTTACTTCTTTACAGATTTTCGCTACTAATTCCTAAAGAGGGGTATGAAAGAAAATAAATAAGGCTCAAAGGGGTAACAAAGGATAAAGTATTTAGATAGCGGAACAAAATACCTTCGTCATTCCAATCTTCGAAACATGCCAAGTACATAGTATCTTTTGACTGCATCAGAATTGATAGCCATGTCTACACATTTGCCTTCTGTGTTCGTTAAATACAATGCACCATTGGACAACACTCTTGTTACAATGAACGACCCCTACCAATTTGGGGCGAACTTGCCTTTTGCTTCGGCCTGATGTGGAAGGATGCGTTTAAATACTTGCTGACCCACTTCAAACTTCCGGGGACGCACCTTCTTGTTGTATGCTCTTGCCATTCTCTTTTGACACAATTGGCCATGACACACTGCTGCCAATCTCTTTTCATCAATCAAACTCAGCTGTTCCAGACGGGTTTTGACCCACTTATCATTATCAATTTCGGCTTCTGCGACAATCCGAAGGGATGGAATTTCAACTTTCGCGGGTATTACTGCTTCAATGCCATATACCAACAAATAAGGAGTTGCACCTACTGAAGTGCGATCAGTAGTGCAATAACCCAACAACGCAAATGGCAACTTTTCATGCCACTGCCTGGAACCTTGCACCATTTTCCGAAGTATCTTCTTTATGTTTTTGTTGGCGGCCTCAACTGCTCCATTCGCCTTGGGGTGGTATGGGGTGGAATTTCGATGCGTAATCTTAAACTGTTGACATACCTCTTTCATCAAATGACTGTTGAGATTAGCACCATTATTTATGATGATCACCTTTGGGATCCCGAACCGACAAATGATATTTGAATGGACAAAATCAACCACTGCTTTCTTGGTCACGGACTTGAAAGTTTTAGCTTCAACCCACTTAGTGAAATAATCAATGGCTACGAATGAACCTGTGCCCATTAGATGCTGCTGGCTCAATTGGTCCAATGAAATCCATACCCCAAGCAACAAAGGGCCATGGTGCGGACATTGTGTGCAATTCAGATGGCGGAGAATGAATCAAATCTCCGTGTACTTGGCATTGATGGCACTTGCGCACAAAACTGATACAATCTCGCTCCATGGTGAGCCAATAATAACCTGCTCGAAGAATTTTCTTTGCCAGAACTGTACTTCAGTCATGATAGTCGTGGCTTGCTTTGCGTCGATACATCTCAACAGCCCAAGATCTGGTGTTCTCTTGTACAAGATCCCTCCGCTCAAGAAAAATCCACTAGCCAAATGCCGAATTGTCCTCTTTTGATTGCCTGTGGCTTGTATCGGATATACCCCCATTCTGATTTACTCCCTGATGTCATGGAACCATGGTTCAGCGTCTAGTTCTTCCTCAACCACTTTACAATAGGCATGCTGATCACGAACTTGAATATGCAGAGGGTCGATATAAGCTTTGTCCGGATGGTGCAACATTGACGCCAAGGTGGCCAAAGCATCGGCAACCTCATTATGGATCCTTGGAATATGCCTAAACTCTAATGATCGAAACCGTTGACAAAGATCATGCAAACATTGTCGATACGGTATGAGCTTTAAATCCCGTGTTTCTCATTCTCCTTGAATCTTGTGCACCAGAAGGTCCGAGTCTCCCAAGACCAAGACGTCCTGGACACCCATGTCTACAGCTATTCTCAAACCCAAAATGCATGCCTCGTACTCAGCCATGTTGTTGGTGCAATAGAAACAAAGTTGGGCCGTAACAGGGTAGTGATGCCCTGTTTCAGAAATGAGCACGGCCCCTATTCCGACACCTTTCATGTTAGCAGCTCCATCAAAGAAAAGTTTTTAAACTGGTTTTTTGACCTGCTCCACTTCGTCAATATGCATCACCTCTTCATCGGGAAAATAAGTCCTCAATGGTTCATACTCTTCGTCGACCGGGTTTTCGGCCAAATGATCAGCCAATGCTTGGGCTTTCATCGCGGTCCGAGTCACATAGATAATGTCAAACTCTGTGAGCAAAATTTGCCATTTTGCGAGCCTTCCTGTGGGCATAGGCTTCTGAAAGATAGACTTTAAAGGATCCAGGCGAGAGATGAAGTAAGTAGTGTAGGTTGACAAATAATGCTTCGACTTCTGTGCTACCCAAGTTAGGGTGCAACATGTCCTTTCAAGGTGAGTATACTTGACCTCATAAGATGTGAACTTCTTGCTGAGATAATAGATGGCTTGCTTCTTCCTACCAGTGATGTCATGTTGACCCAATACACAGCCAAACGAATTGTCCATGACTGTCAAATAAAGAATTAAAGGCCTCCTAAGTTCCGGCGGGACCAATACAGGTGGGTTTGACAAATACTCTTTGATCTTATCAAATGCTTCTTGGCACTCATCAGTCCACTTGACTGCAGCATCCTTCAGTAGCAGCTTAAATATAGGCTCACAAGTTGTCGTGAGTTGAGCAATAAACCTACTGATGTAATTTAATCGCTCGAGCAAATCATCAACTCAGTCTTGTTCCTTGGAGGTGGCAATTCTTGAATAGCTTTGATCTTTGATGGTTCCAACTCAATACCTCGACGACTGACTATGAATCCCAACAGTTTCCCAGATGGAACACCAAATGCGTATTTTGCAGGGTTGAATTTAAGATTGTACCTGCGGAGCCTCTGGAAAAAATTTCTCAAGTCTTTGACGTGGTCAAACTTCTTCCTGGACTTTATGATCACATCGTCTACGTAGACCTTAATTTCCTTGTGTATCATGTCATGGAATATGCTCGTCATCGCCCTCATGAAAGTTGCCCCAGCATTTTTCAGACCGAATGGCATTACCCGGTGGCAATAAGTTCCTCATGGTGTGATGAACGCTGTCTTTTCCGCATCTTCCTCGTCCATTAAAATCTGATGATACCCCGCATAACAATCCACAAAAGACCCAATCTCATGCTTGGCACAATTATCAATAAAAATGTGAATATTTGGCAGTGGGAAATTGTCCTTTGGCTTGCTTTGTTGAGGTCACGGTAATCAACACACACTCTGGTTTTACCATCTCTCTTCGGCACAGGCACAACATTGGCTAACCACGTGGGATACCGCGTGACTCGAATGACCTTTGCATCAAGCTGCTTTGTGACTTCTTCTTTAATCTTTACACTCATGTCAGTTTTGAACTTTCTCAACTTCTTCTTGACGGGAGGGAATGCTGGATCAATTGGCAATTTATGGACCATCAAATCGGTGCTCAAACCTGGCCTGTCATCATACGACCATGCAAAAATATCCTTATATTCCACCAATGCTTTAATTATTTCTTCCCTGATTTGCGGTTCAAGATGGACACTTATCTTAGTTTCTCTGACATTATCTGGGTCAGCTAAATTGATTGCTTCCGTATCATTCAGGCTAGGCTTGGGTTTTCTTCAAAATAATTTAGTTCCTTACTAATCTCTTCAAAGGCCTCATCCTCATCATATTCTGATTCATCATCACACTCTATTTCTTAAATTATTATTTCAGAATTAGATTGACTTTTAGGACTGGGCCGAAGATTCCTCATGCATGTCATGTCATTGAAACCAGCATAAAAAGAACTGTACAGAAAAGAAAAGAAAACAAAAAATAAAACTATCAGGAATGATGGAAAAAGGAAATGCATTTCATTGAAAATAAAGGATAACAGGGTTTGTACATTAACAAGCGGAAAATAAAAGTCTGGGTCACACCCCTGGAATGACCCAGATAGAAAGGAAAACAAAACAAACTACCAAGACTCCTTCCGGGTAGGGAGAGGAGTAGCCTTCCAATTGTTAAGCTTTACATTCGGCCCGACGAACTGCACATCTGCCTTGCTAGACCCTTCTCCAACTTCCACCATATTCACATCATCAAACAAACTGTGAAACCTTTCCATTAACTCTTCATCCACATTAACCACAAGACTGGAAACTGTCGTTGCTGGGCGTTTCCTAGCACTTGGTTTGACAAAAGACCTGGAGAGACGTGGGATAGGCTTTGGAAGTGCCCACGCCTTCTGTTTCAACCTTTTAGCCCTTTTCACATCTGCTGCTGTGGGTTTGAATCCAAGACCGAACGTATCCAAATTTTCAGGGAGATACACCGACTGTATGATACCTTGTAAGGATGCACCCAAACCTTTACCTGGCACAAATCTGTTTTTCAGTATTTCAACGGCCACCATGACGGATGCCGAGGCTATCTTTGGAGCTGGAAGAGACTTCCTTCTGGAATTTTCTCGATCGGCACCATTTCAGAAACTTGTTATACCCACGGCCCTTCATCGTCTTTGGCCTCAATAAATGGAACAGAGGCATCACTGTGAGCACATAAATTATCTTCACCAGGTACGACAATTTCTTGTCTGTCCCATTCAAACTTGACCATCTGGTGTAATGAGGACGGGACTACTTTGGCGACAAGTATCCACGGTCGACCCAGCAACAAATTGTAGGAGACGGCCATGTCTAATACTTGGAACTCCATGGTGAATTCCACCGGTCCTATTGTCAACTCAAGCACTATATCACCAACTGAATCTTTCCCACCACCGTCAAATCCCCGAACGCATATGCTATTCTTGTGAATCCTCTCATCATCAACTTTCAGCTTGTTCAGAGTAGAGAGGGGACAGATGTTTGCACTTGAACCATTGTCAACTAACACCTTGGTGACCACAGACTCTTCACATTTTACCGTAAGATAGAGGGCCTTGTTGTGTTCGGTTCCTTCCATGGGAAACTCATCATCAGAAAAGGTGATCCTATTCACCTCAAATATTTTGTTGGCGATCTTCTCCAGATGGTTCACTGAAATTTTATCAGGGACATGAGCTTCGTTTAAGATTTTCATCAAGGCCCGACGATGCTCATCTAAATGAATCAATAATGACAGCAATGAAATCTGAGCGGGAGTCTTTCTTAATTGCTCCACGATGGAGTAATCTTGTACTTTCATTTTCCTCAGAAACTCCTCCGCTTCTTCCTCAGTGACTGCTTTCTTTACTAGAATTGAATTATCCTTGGCTGCCTTGGCTTTTCTCAACTCTTCCGGGGCAAAGCATCTCCCCTGACGAGTTAACCCTTGGGCCTCATTGACTTCTTCTTTCACTTCTTTCCCCGTGTAAGTCTCCGTTACCCGTTCATAGCTCCAAGGGAAAACCTTGGTGTTGATTATCGGCAACTGGGTTACAGGCTTGATGATGACAGGGTCTGTGCGGGCATCCTTCACAATTAAGATAGGCCTGTTTGCCAATCCTGGCACAATCACTTTTGACTTCGTATCACTTGTAGATCTCTTCTCAACTACCACCGAAGGTTCACCTTTTTTCATGCTTAACTTGTTCAGCGCCCCTTCAACCATTGGTTTTGCGACACTTTTCCCTTTGGTCGGCTGGACCTCGCTGGATAGAATCATCATAACAGATTGCGATGGCTTCTTGGGCTCCCCACCTTTGCATGCTATCTCGATCATGTTCATTCCCTCATGAACTGGTAACAGATTCTGGTTAATGTTGGGTGCCTCCGGGGTTTGGATTTCAATCCGGTTCGTGTCAATGAGTTCCTGGATGGCATTTTTCAGGTTCCAGGACTTCTCCGTATCATGCCCCGGAGTTCCAGAACAATATTCACAGCTCACAGAGTAATCAAGATTCTTGGGAGGCATATTCGGCAATTTTGACTTAATTGGCCTCAGCATATCCAACTGCCTCAGTCTATGGAACAAACTAGTGTAAGACTCCCCCAACGGGGTGAAAGTTTTCTTCCGCTGCCTCTCATTCTTTAATGTTGGATTAGGTCGTAAACTTGGACCAGGAGGGTTTCGGTAGGCTCGGGGAGGTGGGTAAGCATTTTGTGGAGCTGGGTAAGTGTTTTGTGGGACTGGGGAATGCCATTGTGGTTGGGTATATGACTGGGCATGGTGGACAGAGACATGAGGGTCTGGTGATGGGTAGTAATGTTGGGGCGGATTATAGGGGTTTTGGGTGTAGGTTCTGTGTTGGAGACGAGGCTGGGTATAATGGTGTGATGGGCCCTTTGGTCCAAACCACGATCCTGAATCCACTGTTGCCACATTCTTCTTTCTTTTTCTTCCCAATCACTCCTCCGGTAGCATTTTGGATGGCTTGGGTGGTTGCTTTGATGGCCGAATAGCTCATGATTTTGCTTGACTTAAGACCTTCTTCCACCATTCCACCCATCTTCACAACCTCGTTGAATGACTTGCTTATGGCCGATATCAGATGGCCAAAGTAAGTGGGTTCCAGAGCTTGCAGAAAATACTCCACTATTTCATTCTCCTCCAACAAAGGGTTGACTCTTGCCGCTTGTTCTCTCCAGCGAAAACCATATTCTCTGAAACTTTCTCCTGGCTTCTTTTCTATCTTAGTTAGAGACAATCGATTAACAATCTCGATGTTGTACTGGAAATGACGGGCGAAATCTTGGGAAAAATCATCCCAAGTATACCATCAGTTATGATCTTGACGTGTATACCACTCTAATGTTGTGCCGCTCAAACTCTGGCTGAAGTATGCCATTAGCAACTCATCTCTTCCACCTGCTCCTCTCATCTTGCCACAGAATCCCCTCAAGTGGGCCACCGGGTCCCCGTGCCCATCATATAGGTCGAATTTAGGCATCTTGAATCCCACAGGCAACTGAACATCGGGGAACAGACACAAATCTTTGTAGGCCACGCTCACCTAACCTCCTAATCCCTGCATGCTTCTGAATGATTGCTCCAGGCTTTTTACTTTCCTGAACATCTCCTCCTGCTCTGGGTTTTTAAGTGGTTTTTCAGTCTCATTTCGGAGGTCAAAACGGGGAGTGTAGGGGTAATGATTTGGTGCCTTGAAAATAGGCTCCGGGAGATAGTATTGGTTATCTTGGGTCTGGAACAAAGGTTCGCTGGAGGATCGATGAAGTGTAGCTGGCGGTGGTGCCACGAAAATAGGAGTGGCTGGTGGTGAGAGGTATGGGATTGGTTTAGCTGGTGGTGCTTGTGTGGTTTGGGAAGTGGAGCCTTGATAATGGTGGTAATGGGTGAAGCCCGGTGCGTTTTGTGGGAATGAATCAGCAGTGGGAGGTTATTGGGACTGAGCCAACAGTGGTACGAAAGTGGGATTGGCAGGGTATGACGGTGGGGAATGCCCTTTCACCCAGGCTTGGTACATTTCGTCCATCTGATGTTTCAATTTATACAGTTCCTCTTTCAGGTTAACCTCAGACTTTTCCCCCTCTCTGGATGGATCAATAACACTTGCATCCAATTCTTGGCCAGCCATGATCAACTTGTTCTTAGACCTGGTGTTGTACGGGTGGGTTTCCAGAATGCCAATCAAACTAACCACCTGCCTGGATTTGAGGACAACAAGCAAACATTGTTAGGGATTAGGAGCTTAACAGATAGGCAACCGCACGTTGGGGATGCAATGCAAACACTTAACCCTTTCTATTATGCATTTGAACGGCCGCTTGCGTCATCCCGGCTTTCACTAATTTTCATTTTGCAACTTCTCTCTCTCTCTTTCCTTTTCATTCTTGCTTTTCTTTGCCTGGTTCTTGTCTTTCCGTTTATTCTCCCATTTTCCCTAACAGTTTTCTTGTTCTCTCTCTCTCTCTCTCTCTCTCTCTCTCTCTCTCTCTCTCTTTTCTTTTGTCTTTTTTTTTCATTTTCATGGTTATGATCGAATGCTATAGGAATTGCCTACGTATCATGACGCCGCATAAATCAGACCAAGCGTAGTTCTGGGAGATAAGTGCAAAAATAAAAGAAAGATACATTTTTGGGTTTTCAATTTTTTCATAAAACAAAATAAAAGCGGACATCCTGGTTACAACGACTTCCACTACAGATTTTAAGCATAAAACTAACAGACTCCAACTGAAAAATAAAAATACAAACTCCAAAATGGACTAACAAACTCCAAAGAAAACGAAAATACAGACTCGAATAAAAATCATGAATACATAAGTGCTTCAATTACTCCAGGGGCCCGCGGGACATCAGTCGGTCTCGCCGCGGGCCTATGCGCCATATCTTCTTGAAGGCGAAATAGGTCATCCATAATCTGTCGGACAAAAATCATAACGGAGGCGAAAAACATGGACCTGGTCATGTCCTCACACTCACTGCATTTTATCACTATGTAGTCCGCAATGCTCCTAACTCTTTCTCTCATAATACCCTTCTCTTGAAGCAACCGACCAATCTGCTGAGATCTGGCCCCCAAAACTTGTTCAGCTGTATGATTCTGCTCTTGAAGCTGCTGCAGGTCTTTTTCTAGCTGCGACATCAGGGCATAGCAATGTTCTCTTTCTACTTTGAAATCTTTTGCCTGTTTGGTCATTTTGTTCTTGAGGATGGTGATCTTTTTCTTCAACCCCACGACCTCGTTGTCATATTTCTCTTTTAACTGTTGAACCAAGCGTGCTCGTTCCTCCGCATTCTTAGCCAATTTTGTTCGAGCACGTGCCAGTTCACCCACTGCCTTGTTCAGATCAAAACCATACTCACCCACCTTCTGCCTAAGGTTACTTATAATCTTTTCATCTTTTGCATTTCTGGCGGGGTTTTCGGCTGCTATTTTCATTTCCTGAATTTGGGCTCGAAGAGCATCATTTTCTTTGGCCAGCTTTTTTCTTCTCACCCTCATCTGCGGCGGCTTGCAAATCATTCGCAAATTGAAGATCCCTGACCTGTCTTTCCAACTTGCCTATTGCGGCCTTGCACTCATTCTCATTGGCCAGCCAAGCCCACTGTTCTTGTGATGCTTCAACAAATTCCTGGATGTGAGGCTTTTTGGTTGGTCTTTCAGGTTCGGCCCTTGCAGTGTTCTTTTTTCTGTACCAGGTAGTATAGGCGGGTGAGACCTCGCCTCTAGATAGGTCACGCACTCGAGTGTTTGCTGTCAAATACTGGCACTCGTTCCAAATATGACGAACTGTTTCTTCATGAAATTGGTCGTCGGAGCTGACTTCGACCGCATAAACACTGAGATCTTCATCTGGGTGCGTCACCTGGCATCTTCCCAACTGTCTCATCACCCGGTGCGGAGCGTAAGGCTGAATGCCTCGAAGACCCATTAGGAGGAAGTAAGGACCAGTAGCCGGCATATACACAACTTCTTTGACAGGAAGCCAACCTAATGTCCATTCTATTTGTCCTGCTGTTATGGAGCGAAGGTGAGATACTTAATTACCAAACCCTTCTGGCAATTTGAAACCTGAGACCCTTGTGTCGAACTCTTCAATGCAGCTCTTTCCCGTGGATGCATAATTCATGTATTGAGGGCGGTGACACAGATGCTCAATCACCCACATTTGTAATAGCAAATTGCAACCCTCGAAAAAATCTGCCCCAGCTTTACAGGCTGTGAGAGCTCGGTATATTTCAGACACGATCATTGGGGCGAGGGTGCTCTTGGCATTGGTAATCAAGACATTGGCGACTCCAGCTACCCGCAGATTGATATTCCCATCCTTCCGGGGAAACACCACGAGACCCAAGAAATCTACCATGAAAGCGAAGCGCCTATGCTCATCCCATTTTGCTCGGATCCCTTTGCTGCAAACTCCACTTTCCGGGTTGTCAAATCCCCCTATATGCCCGTACCTCTGGTATATGAAGCATAGAGTGGAAAAATCAACTGCTAAATCTGCATACTCGACCCCTCTGCTTATTTTTAGCAAATCCAGGAACTTGTGAGGGGTAACGGCTCTCGGAGCGACCAGGTACTTATGCCTTAGACCTTCGGTACTTCCCATATAACCCACTATCTCTTCTAAGGTGGGTGTGAGTTCAAAATCTGAGAAATGTAGAACATTGTGAGCTGGATCCCAAAATGTTACAAGTGCCCTTATTATGTCTCTAGGCCTGATCTTCATCAATCCAGTGAGCCCTCCCAAATGAAGGTTGACCACATCTCGTCCTTCTTTACCCAAATCTTCCCACCACATGAGTAGCTCCAATGAAATCTTGGACATGACCTTCATTGGTAAATTTTGACTTGTGCTCAATCTTCACATTTAGATTAAGGCGATTGGTTTTAAAAACAAAGTGAACCTTATTTGAAAACTAACAAAAAGGCTTATTTTTGCAAAAATAAAAAAAATAAACAAAACAAAAACAAAAGTAAATCAGGGCCACTTTTGCGAATACGGCCTTTCATCACTTTGTAATGGAAGTTCTTAGGGTTGTGTTCGCTAATGGCTAGAATTTAACAAAGAAACCGTCGGTGGCTATTTTTTGTAAAGTAGCCTTCCGGCGTCCCACTGGGACATTTGGCTATTTAGATAAAAACGGCATCACCCACTTTTATTTATGACAAAATGACGACACCTCATATATTTTCAAAATTTTCAAGGAGCGGGCTTGGACCCGATGAGGGTTACCTACGTATCCTACGTCCAGTGAGAATCAAACCCGCGTAGTTCGGCCAGTTTGACATGAAAAGGAAAAAAAACAAAAATCATTTTGGACTAATTCTTCTCTTTTCAAGAAACTTCTGTTTTTTCAAGGGATCCTTTTTCTTCTCTTTTTTTTTTCAAAAATTCGGCAGAGTTCCGGGACATTTTGGGCATAATTTTTTTGGGAATGGGTGAAATCCTCTCTCATACCTCAACTTGGTTTATCTTTTGGTTTTGCTCATTCAATCTAGAAGCCTGTCAATATGCAATTCGAAACAAATTAAATGCACAGGTAGCACATAAAATGCATCAGGCTGGTCTTTTATTTTCGGGTACACCTGTCCTAGACGGACCCAATCCCTGTGTTGAGTCCCCAAAGTCGAATGCACATGATGCAAATAAGCGTTCCTACTAGGGATCCGGCATGAGGCTGAGTTATTCTAAGATTAAAACCTGGGTGTATTGTTCTAGACCTGGCTTACCCCGAGCGGACAACTCGAGCCGGGGGGGAGGGGTAGCGTACCGGTAACCAAAAGATCATCCGGCTTTGCAACTTGTCCGAACCTCGTTATAATTTGGGATATGACACTAACAGAAAGAAGTCACGCCAGCGCGCACTCCTCAGAAGAGAGAAGAGAGGGGTTTCATAGCAGTTTATATACGGTTCAGATAATATCAAAGCGGTAAAAGCAACATGTAGCACATTAGGCCCAAACATGTAATAAAATCCGATACTAAACAAAGCCAAATACAACAATTATTCTAAGCTCGAATTCTTGAACCCTGAACC